CAGTTGCTAAGCAGGATCTTGCAGTTGCCAAGCTTCAGAGGACATTGCGAGAGTTTATATTCCTGTTTCACTTCCAATTTATCTCTGCTTCCTTCCTGTTTATGATTGAAAATGCTATCTCTCAGCTTCCTACTACTACCACCTTGCTTTCCAGAAGCAGTCCTTCCTTTCAAGCCATTACAGATTCTGCTTCTGGGACAGAAAATAAAGCTTTTCTTTAATAAGTTGCTCTTGATTATCATATTTTGATATACCATCAAATAGTAAATAACATACATAATAAAGTATAAATGATGAGTTGCAATAATCATTGTAGATTTAGTGAGCTCTTTAGAAGAAGGCTGCTTATACTACCAGTCATGAAATCTCCTCTGCTTACATATATCTTAAAGTGTACATTCTGAGTAGTTTTTTTCTATACATATTTTTGAGGGCTAATATTAGTTGTCAACTCAGTAGGAATTAGAACCATCTATGAAAAATACCCATGAGGACATCTGTGAATGATTTCTTTAATTATATCACTTGAAATGGACACCTTCAGCTTAAACATGGGCAGTAACTTTTATACTTTTATATAAAGAGGACCCAATGGAATTTTCTTGCCTGCTTATGTTCACCTCTGACTGGCCTTTGTCTCTACATATTGTTCCTGACTATTGCTGCTGCAGCATTTCTTGACTTGTTTTCCTAGTCTCAAAGTCTTCTCATGAAATTGGCAAAAAAAAATTTTTATATTTGTGTTCAACTTTGAGAGCACTTACAGAAGTCAGGGTAGTAGAAAAAGACCACTAACCTATGGATAGAAATGTCTTCATGAAGAGAATAGTAGACACAGAGGATACAAAAGGGGAATGTGATAATAATGAGGACATTTTAAGTAGGAAGTTGAATAAGAGGGTAAAGCAGAAAAGGGAGTCTGAGTATTAGGATAACTAGCCATAAAGATTTCTGAAAAAGCCATGTGAGATCTCATTGGTTTATAAAGTTTCAAAGAACATTTTAAATAAAAAGTCTAATTGTAGTGAACTTATACTGAGTGAAGGAAGAATGTACTCTTACAAGAAGTCATAAATTACCAAAGGAAAAAAACCTGGTGCAAGAAATGGAATGCATCTCTTAGCACTGTTCTTTAAAGAAATTTCTTGACCTCTGCAGTACCCCCGCCTCAAGAAATACAAGCTATTTCTATTATTCTTGATTTTCTGCCATATATTTATGTTGAGATCCCATTTTTGAAGACAGCACTAGACCATAGAATACAGAGAAATAAAACTGCTACTGAACTGGAATCTTTTCCCCTACTTACTAATATTCCAGATGCTCCAGGGCATTATGCATACTTTTAAGAGATGAAAGTTATAAACAGTATTATTCAGTTGTGTACCTGTAAATTACAGTAAGGACACATCTGGCAAGATATGCCCATTCATACATGAAGTTCATAGGGATCAGTAACAGCATTCTAGTTGGATTTATGGAGTATTTCTCAAGGAAGAAGCACATACCTTGTACTGGAACCTCTGGCTAGCAATACAAAAAGTTCTATGGAAGGATCTATACTATTTTTTTGGGGGGGGGTTGGTTTTTTTTTCGAGACAGGGTTTCTCTGTGTAGTCCTGGCTGTCCTGGAACTCACTGTATAGACCAGGCTGGCCTCGAACTCAGAAATCCTCCTGCCTCTGCCTCCCAAGTGCTGGGATTAAAGGCGTGTGCCACCACCGCCCGGCAGGATCTATACTATTATTTTGCTAAATAAAGATGCACACAAACTACCTTCTAAATCTTATTTCTAAATCTGTAGATTAGTGCAGCTTTCATCTTTTATTAGATAAGAGCTTTTGTTTGCAGAAAACAGAGTTTAAGACAGAGACCCACAATAGAGAGAAGTGCAGAGAAAAAGTGGCTGAATTGTATCACCCTGAAATAAGTCATTAATAGCATACCTCTTTCAAGACCAGGAATAAAGGTTACAGGGCCTGGGAAGATTGTAGTAGTCAGAGAATAAGAAATATTTGTGTACATGACAGGAATGTTGTTGTGTGTACCTTCACAAAATTAAATTCATTTAATATTTCGGGATGAATGGAGGCAGGACTCAAGACAACTCAACATTAACTTGGGAGCTATTGGAAGTTGAGGCTGCTAGAAGTAAAAAGAGTCAGTGTTCTACAGAAAGATCACTCTTGTTAGGCTGCCCATGGTCCATTGGATAAGATTACACCCATTTTCATGCAGGCAGCAATACTTGGATTCTGAAAATAATTTTTAGAATACTAGAACATGAAGCTTACAGAAGACTGTTGATGGGATGCACATAGGAAATCATGAGAATGAGAAAATATATGACCAGACTAAGTTGATACATGTGTAAATGTATCAAAGAAAAAATATTTTTGGAAGCAATACTTTCGTGTATGATTTATCCTGGAAGTTTTAGATTCTAGTGTGAGGTAAGCCCTTCATTGAGCAAATGTTTTGTGAATAAATTACTTTTTAACTTGAGATCATGAAAATCTGACATTTTTCCATTTTCTAAAACCTTATAGTAACATACTATAAAACTTCTTTTGTTAAAATATTTACTTAATTTATATGTATACATGTATTCCTGAGTATATATATATATATATATATATATATATATATATATATATACATACACACACACACACACACACACACACACACACAACATATTCATGCATGAGCAAATGAAAATCAGAAAAGGCTTAGATGATCTGGAACTGTAGCATTGGTCATGAGTATAGAGTCTATGTTTCCTGTAATAGCTGTAAATGCTCTTAACTAGTGACCCATCTCTCCAGGTCTTCATCAAGCTTCTTACTGGGTTCAATGTAGGATTTGATGCAAGATACTTTATGTAACTTGGATAGATAACTTTTAAATGTCTGTTTTGTTATTTGTTTTATATTTTTAACACTTACAGCATAAAATACAACATAATTTTTTGTAAGGCCTCCAATTTTGTTCTTCTATTTCATTTTAAGATTTCTCCCTCCATATTTTACCAATTATTATGTACCTGAAGTATAAAAATTATGAAGAATAATTATTAATCAGAATTATTAAAGGTTTCTTTGATTACTAGACATTCTGAGTTTCACATATTTAAAATCATGGCAATATAATGTGTTTGACTATATTTAATATATATGCATATATATGCAGATAGATAGATACATAGATAGATAGATAGATAGATAGATAGATAGATAGATAGATAGATA